ACTCATAGGAATCCCCCGAATAAAACGGACCAAACGGACATTTGTCCGTCTGTCCGATCGGACGTGTCGAACTGCTTCCATCAAGGAGTTTCCAATGAATGGTCTCCAAGAGAGCAATTTCAACAGTTGTGTGACGAATAAGACCAAATCGTGCTGCACCTGTTGTCCTGCGGCTCTGGAGTCGATGTCGCGACCTACTCTACTTTCTTTTTCTCTGGAAGAGTCTCTGATCAGAATGACGTATCCCACAGAAGATGCGTACATTACCTTAGTAAAAGGATTGTTACCACGACCTTAACGCGGTATTTAATGTTGTCTTGTTAGTCGTGTGTGCTGATACACGGCAGTAGCGCTTCATCAAGAAATCCACCTTGTGTTCCATTGTTGTCTTTGTCTGCTTGATGGAGTTCACAGACTGTTGTAGGATCGCTTGCTTGATTTCCGGAGACTCAGTAGTTGGAGCCAACACGGCAGTATCGATGGTATACTGGTTGTAGGTGATGGTCTCGTCCACGTGGCTTCCATTGACCCAATACGATTTCTCGTTGACACGATCGCTTCGTTTTTTGTTTTTTTCATATTTGTGATGCGACGCGGCAGTCATCGCGGCGAACGCTGCATTCTCCATATTGACAGGACTTGCTGACATCATAGCGAACGCGTTGCGCTGGAAATGGTCAGGGTTGAACTGTCCTCCCCATGTGTTAGATGATCGTGTGAACAAACTTGGTGGCTCTGACTGCGAATCGAATACGTTTGGGCTTCGAATCTCGGGCTGGCTTCCACTTAACGTGCTAACGTTGTGCTCCTGGCTCTCCTCGTAGAGAGAGCGTACTAGTGCGTTGATGTAGCTACTGTTGGACATGATAGACGGTGATTGATATTGCTAATGGGGTGTATTTACGGGGGTCTGAAGCAGCTGTGAGTAGATGATGAAAGATTGATCTTGGGCTGAGTATTCGGCAATGACCGTTGGCCTTCGATCGCTCTAATACATCTGCTCAGGACTCGGCAGTCCAGTCAGTCACGTTACGAGCCTGCAGGCAATGTGCGATACAATGATCAATGAAGAGAGTCAAAAGATGCTTGAAGGTTCTGGTCTTTCACTTGATGATGTTGCAGTACTCTAAATAGGATATTACTTTAGGATATTACTTTAATTGCAACTCCACCTGTCTTTATGTTCAACCAAGTCCCTTCGCAGGTGGAGAGTCATTGCATCATCGCTGCTGTCTGATGATGATGAACATGTTGATGAAAAACTTGTAGAAGACAAGGAATAGTTGTAAGGCATCCAGGCAGTTTCTAGCGATGTAATTGAGGCAGTGCCATCAATTTTGGATTGACTGCAAGACCGAAGAATGCTTCTTTCGAGGCATAGTCATAAAACGTCTGAACGTCTTCCAATTTCAGCCAATCACATTTATTCTATCTAGTCGAGTGGCGGCCTCGGCTGGAGATGCCCTTAGCAGTCTCTCTGACGGCTGACGGCACTCTACCGTACTGGCCCATGGCACAGAAAACGTGAAAACGCGCGTGCAGGGCCCATTCCTCTCCGAGCTGGCGCAGCTTCTTACAATTCAAACGGGTCGTAGTTGATTCAATGATTGTGCCACCCGCAATGATCAGTCTACCCGCGAACATACAAACATTTAAGCGCGGATTGGCAATCCGCGCTCACATTTAGGCACGGATTGCCAATCCGATACTACTTTAAGCGCGGATTGCCAATGCGCTACTACATTGAGCGCGGATTGCCAATGCGCTACTACATTAGGCGCGGATTGCTAATCCGCGCTTAAATGTTTGTATGTTCGCGGGTAGACTGATCATTGCAGCTGGCACAATCATTGAATCTACTATAATCTATGTTATGGTGAGCGATTGGGTCATGGCTGAGGCAATTCTGATGAGTAGAACTTGAATTGATGGGCAAGTTAGTGAGTTTTAGCTAATGCTTGTTGTGGAATTCTGATCGATCGTCATGCTTACAATGTGCTTCCACCATATAGACCCAATATAATGATTGTTCCCATCAACCAATACATACTGGTGAGCGATTGGGTCATGGCCAAAGCATTTTTGATAGGGTGGTGAGCGATGGGAGTATGGCGGAGGCAATGCTGATGTTTAGAACTTGAATTGATGGACAAGTGGTGAGTTCCAGCTGATGTTTGTTGTGGAGTTTCCATCGACCGTCATGCTTACCATGTGCCTCCGCTATATAGGTCCAATATGATCATTGTTCCAATCAACGAATACATATTGGTGACCGATTGGATTATGGTCAAGGCAATTCTGACGAGTAGAACTTGAATCTATGGACAAATTGGTGAGTTTCTGTTCATGAGTTTATTTTTGTTTTCCATTGCTCTGTGCTCATCATATGATTCTCTAATATAGTACCACTACTATGATTACTCAAATGGTTTCATGGATAATGGTGAGCGGTTGGGTCATGATGGGGGCAAATCTG